TTTTTGAATCACTAAAATTTATTGGAAATTGGAAGACATGACTAATGGATGGGAGGCACCAACTAATACAATTAGCTGTGGAGGAAGATTATGCAAGGCTCTTTGCCAAGCAATCAATAAGTATTGCTGGAGCTACCATGAAGATTGTAAAGTGAACTCCTGACTTTGATCCAAGTAAAGAACCACCTATGGTTCCTCTTTGGTATAAGTTGTCAGGCCTTCCACTTCCTTTCTTCAAGTTGAATGCCTTATTTAACATAGGAAGAGCTTTGGGCACACCTTTGAAAGTGGATGCCCCTACATATAATAAAGCTAGGCCAGCTTTGACAAGAATACAAGTGGAGAGAGATATCAACCTTTCTGAGCTGAAAAGGATATGGATTGGCTCAGACACTGAAGGATTTTGGCAAGATATTGTCTCTGAACAAAAACCCTACTATTGCCAACATTGTAAGATGCTTGACCATATAGTGGAAAAGTGCTACAGGTAACATCCACCCCATAAAAAGAACACTGGAAGGGACCATAGAGAAATAAGAAATACCTCATTGAAAGCCACTGTGAACATTGCTGAAGAAACACATCTGAACAATAGGAAAGAAAGCACTCAAAGGATAGAGAGACCACTCCCAACAATCAATGTAAACTCTTCATCAGATGATCCTTTGGATAAGCTATCAGATTCCCCTCCAAACAGAACCACAGTGGACTCTCCAATCAAAACAGTAAGAAAGGAAATTAATGAAATCATAATGATCACTCCCTCACCTTCTCTTCAAGAGGAAAGCCAGATAGACATTCATGGCAAGGCTCCTGAGGAACATGTAATCACTGGTCTTAAAAAAGCAATTAAAGAAGATTGGCAGGTTCAAATAGCTAGAAGGAAAATAAAACATGTGACAGAAGTGCAGAAATTACAGTAGGGAGTCAGCTTATTGCAGACAGAGAGTAAAGGCAGAACAAAGTTTGGTTCTCCCCATCATCACAGAGGTAGAACTAGATCAAGATCACAACCATCCCTCCAAATTCATCCACCAAATGATTAATATCCTTTGCTAGAATATTAGGGGAATAGCCAATCCCATCTCTCTTAAAAGAGTTTTGCATTTGAATTATAAATACAAACTTTGGTGCATAGTAATTCTTGAACCTATGGTTCACAAAAACTATCAAAAGCTAATAAAAAAGTTTCCTAGTTTTAATAATTTTGCCAATTCCAACAACAAAATCTAGATTTTATGTAGAAAGGAAATTAGATGGAATATCCTTGTTAATCATCAACAATCTGTTCATTTCAAGTTTAATATCGATGGCCATTTGGGATATGCTACCTTCATATATGTAGGTTGTACAAAGGATGATAGAAAAGAGCTTTAGAATTATTTGTTGAATATTAGTCAGCAAATAGACTCCCCTTGGATTGTAGGGGGAAACTTTCACTGCATTACGTCTTCTACTAAAAATCAGGGGACAGTGCTCTTAGCCAAGCCAAAATGAACACGTTTAATGATAATATCCACAATGCTGGTTTGTTTGATTTTGGTTTCAAGGGACCTGCTCATACTTGTAAGAGGGCTAAAATTTGGGAAAGACTTGATAGAGTATTGGTCAATGATAGCTGGTATAACCATTTCCTCCTCACTTTTGTCACTCATCTCAGCCTTGCTGGTTCTGACCACAGACCAACACTTATTAGCATCACCTCCTCAGATAATACATCTTCCCCTCCCCCTTTTAGATATCTAAACATGTGGTCTTCCCACTCTTCTTACAACTCCTACATTGTTAACCTTTGGAATGATATTTCACATACTGACCCCTTCATTAAACTCAGTTTGCTACAAATCAAAACTGCCAATGCCCTTAGGAAATGGAGTTGGGGGGCATTTGGAAATGCCCTTACTAAAGTGCAAGAGCTAGAAGAGGAAGTAATAAGATTGGAGCTAGATCAACAAGAAGGAATAGTTTAGGAAAATGAACTGCTTACTGTCCAAAACAAACTTCTTACTGCTATTTATTATCAAGACCAATTCTTTAAGCAGAAAGCAGCTATGAACATCTTCACTGATGGGGACAGAAACACCAAATTTTACCATGCTTATATCAAATACCAAAGGAAATGTAACACTATACATGCTATTGAAAATGCTGAGGGGAAGTGGCTACATGAGAATGTTTAAATAGCAAATGATGCAGTAAGTTATTTCAAAAACCTTTTGAATCAAGATCATAATCACAAAATCCCTTTTGATCCAAATTATTTCTCTGCTGAACTGAAATACACTGCTAACCTAAAACTTACTGAAATTCCTGATGAAGAGGAGATATGGGAGGCTATGAATTCTATTGATAGCAACAAAGCAGCTGGCCCTGATGGATTCACTGCTGAGTTCTATAAAAAATCTTGGGACATTATTAATCCTTAGGTAATAGCTGCTGTGGCTAGTTTTTTCCAAGGAAATAATCTTCCATATTACTTCAGTGCCTCTACTTTTGTGCTGATCCCGAAATCTGAGATGAAAACCAACTGGAATCACTTTAGACCAATTTATCTAGCCACTGTCATCAGTAAAGCAATCACCAAAATCATTGTCAATAGGCTTCAGCCCCATCTTGAACATATCATTAGACCCAATCAAACTGCATTTGTGAAGGGGAGATCCATTATTGACAACACTCTTTTGGCACAGGAACTACTACATGATCTGAACAAGACCTGTAGAGGTGGTAATTTGATCTACAAACTGGATTTGCAAAAGGCTTATGATACTATCATTTGGGGATTCATTTTGGAAGTTCTCACTGCAAGAGGGTTTGTCGGCACTATTTTTGGTGTGGGGTTT